ACCGTTATCCATTGTTGCGTATTGATGATTTATTGATCAACTTAGAGGTCTGCGTATTTCCTAAGATTGACATAAGGTCTGGTTGTTACTGATTGAAGAGTTAATGATAACGTTCCTAAGATTGTGTTCAGGACTCGTTACGGTCATTATGAGTTTTAGTGATGTTATTCGGATTGACGGATTCTCCTGCTGTTTTATGAGTTTGATGGATGAAGTATTCCAGGAATGCCTTAACAAGTTGTTATTATTTTCATTGACGATATTCTGGTATACTCTGAGCCTAGAGCAGAGCAGGTTAGGCATGTTAAATTGGTGTTGCAAGATTGAGAGAACGTCGATGGTATGCTAAGTTTAACAAATGTCAAGGTTGAATGGATTAAGTAACATTTCTGAGATAAGTATATTGCTAAAGGTATTCAAGTGAATTCTTAAAAGGTAGCAGAAATTGAGAATTTAGAATAACCAGGAACCGTGATTGAGATTGGAAGTTTCGTAGTTCGGCAGACTATTACGGACGGTTTGTGAAAGATTTTCTAGTCCTTACTTTGCCATTGTCGAGATTGACGAGAACATAAGTTAAGTTTGAATGGGATGATAATTGCGAGCAAGGGTTTCAACAGTTGAAGTATTTCCTCACTCGTACGCGTATTCTAGCGCTCACTGGAGATAGCGGTAATTACGAGATCCTTAGTGATGCTTCTTTGATTGGTTTTGGATGAGTGTTAATGTAGTAAGGTAGAGAGATTGCCTATGCTTCTCGGCAATCGAAGCTTCATGAAAATGAATTACTCTACTCGTAATTTGGACTTTGCAACTATTATCCTTACTTTGAAATTTTTGGAGATATTATCGTTGTGGTGAGAAATACAAAATTGTTATGGATTTTAAGAGTCTCTAATATCTGTTTACTCGAAGGATCTTAATCTTAGGCAACGAAGGTGGTTAGATCTGCTTAGTGATTATGATTGCACGACAAGATGATCATACAAATGTGTGGTGGCCAATGTTTTTAGTAGGAAGACCCTAGTGAGAATTAATGTTTGGTACAGTTGTCATGTTCATCTTCTTGTGGATTTGAGATCTATTGGAGTAAAGTTGGGAATGGAAGATCGAAAAAAGAACTTGCTAATTTTCAAGTTGACCTAATTGGTAGATCGTACTCGAGACTCAAGCATTTGATGAAGAAATTCAAGTATTTATTTTAAAGCAAGGAATAGCGAGGAAAAGAAAGACCTCAGAGTCAGAGAATCAGATGGCAAGCTGATGCAAGAGAACAAGGTATTTGTACCTAATGTTATGGAGTTAAGGAAGTAATTTTGGAATTAGCGTACGGTTCAGTTTATGCAATGCATCCTGGGGGTACTGATATGTATTATACCATTCGATCATATTACTATTGATCAAGTATGAAAAGAGAAACTTTGGTATATATTAATAGTGTATCATCGGATAGCAGGTTAAATCAGAAAGAAATAAGTCTTTTGGATTGATGTAGTCACTTCCCATTCCACTGTGGAAATGAGAAAATATTAATATAGATTGTGTGTGCAAGTTCCTCGTTCACGAAACGGTTATAATGAAATTTGAGGTGATAATTGATTTGTTTACTAAAGCAGAGCAGTATTCTTCAATGAAAGAGCAATCACCTTTCCAGAAGTGCAACAGTTATTTATTTGTCTTATGGAAAAGAGATTTGGTCTTACGGATCTGTTGAACTTCTTGGGTATGTTGGTCCTGTCAGCTTGTTCCCGAGAGCAACGCCATAAGGCCGTGGAAAGCTGTGTCTTGTGTTTCAAAACTGTTAGAATTGTGAACGGATGGTATTTTGGGGAGCAAAAAGGTTTAACCACAAAAAGTCAATTTTAAGGCCCTGAGTTAGTAGAGGAGACTACTCAAAATATTCAAGTGATTAAGTTTAACCTGAAAGCAGCCCAGGATCGACAGAAGAGTTTAGCTGATCGACATGCCACTGATCGAGTGTATGATGTGGGGTAATTTGGTGTTCTTGAAATTGTCACCTTGGAGAGGTGTGGTATGATTTTGGGAAAAGAGGAAAGCTAAGTCCGAGATACATTGGACCCTATGAGATCACTGAAAGAATTGGTGAAGTTGCCTACCGGTTGGAGTTGCCTCCGGAGTTATCTAAGGTCCATAATGTATTTCACGTCTCTATGCTTCGACATTATATTTATGATCCTTCGCATGTGATTCCTCCTCAACCGTTGGAGATCAATTCGGATTTGACGTATGATGAGGAACCAGTGACTATCTTGGATTGGAAGGATAAGGTTCTAAGGAACAAAACGGTGAGTTGGGTGAAGGTGTTGTGGATGAACCATTCTGTAAAAGAAGCTATCTGGGAGACAGAAGATCGAATGAGAGAGATGTACCAAGGTTGTTCTATGGGTATTGAGTGGTTTACTTGGTTATGGGAATTTCGGGGACGAAATTCTATAAGGAGGGAAGATTGTCACAACCCGTCCCGAAGGTACATTTGACGGGAATGTGAATTGACGGGTTTGCCCTTAGTGGGTGCTAAGGTATGTGTGTGACACATTATGGATTATGCATATTTTCCTAAAGTTTGGAAAGTTGTATATGGATTAAAAAATTTGGGTTTTTCATTTTTGTATGGTTAGGATGAAATGGATGGTGGAGATTGAGTGGACCACCCACACCTAAAACTCCCTATTCTCTCTCTTCCTCTTCCCGTATCACTCTCTCTCTCCTCCCTCACGATTCTTCCCCTCTCTCACCCACATCGTACGGACGGCAACCAAAACCACCCAAAACTTCGTGGATCGAAGCAAATAAGGTAAGAATCTTCACCCTCTTGAAGTTCTGAGTTGATTGGTGTTAGTTTTAGGACGTAGAACCTTCGAAAAACCCCTGAACCCGAACCTCCATTTTTGAGTTACTGTTCATGCGCACGTAAAATGTCGTGTTTTAGGGAATTCTAAGCTTGTAGTGAGCTTAGGGAAGTCCTAAGGAGGCTCGGAGTACTTCGTTTGAAGGATTTGGACGTCGGGATCACGTGGTTCCATTTTGGCCGAATTTCTTGGGAATTTTCCGGTGAGATTTCTTGATTTTTTAGAGCCTTAAAGTAGTGTATTGTGATTCTACATGTTTGGGGCTTCAATTTGATATATTATACGAAGAAAAATGGGTGAAAAACGAAGGAGAATAGGGGCATTTGAAGTTTGGCCGGAAACCGGCCACCGGGAAAAAACCAGTCCGGCGACTGGCTGAGGAAGATGATGCGCGTGGGGGCGCGTGTCCCCGTGCTTGCCCTGGCGCGTGGGGGCGCGTGCCACATCAAAAAATTATTTTAAAAATATGTCAACGTCCGTGACGTCGAGTAGATCACTGTGGCATATTCATATACCCAAATTGAGCACCGTATGAGAAAGTTATTAAGGATTGTTGGTTAGGTGTTCGATTAACGTTTTATAGTTTTCGCATTAGGTGAAAATGTGAATTGATGATCCGACCGTTGGATCGTTACCAAACTTTGGTACGTTGTAATACGTAATATTTGAGGATTATTGGAACTTACGGATTGGGAATCCGAGTTACGGATCTTCCGGAATTGGAGTTGTAAGTTCATGAAATAAAATGTTAACCGTCACTTAGTTTTGGAAATTGACGGAGATTCGACCGTTGGATGGTAATGAAATTTCAGGATGTTGTCCTAGAGATATATTGTGGGCCTCTGGAAGTTATGGATTTAAAATCTGAGTTGCAGATCTTTCGGATCGAACTGCGTAGTGATGTGTTTTATATAAGTTATATTCTATCGAGATGATTTCTGAGGTTGGATTTGATTATTGTTCTAGGCGGCGATCGTCATGACGCCTTGATGTGTTGTGCTAGGGAGTTGTAGGGCGAACTCCAGGTGAGTGGGCAGTTTTGTTTTCGTATTACCTATATACTATTGAGTTTTCCCAGAAATTGAATTTAAATGAAAGCATGATTTAAAATGCCATGGATAGAATTATATGAAAAGTATGATTTGGAATGCCATGCATAGAAGTATATGAAAAGCATGAATTGATATATGATGCATATATATATATGTGAATTGGTGCTGTGGACGCACAGGTAAGTATCAGGTGAGTTTTATATTATTCATGTGCATTGTTGATGTGTATATTGTGGATAGCTCATAACCTGCAATCATGGTGTTAGTGCTTATATTATTCACCACACCGCACGCTCGTCTTGGATCCAAGTAGGTGGATGTCGTACAGACCAAGTGAGGGTTCCGACATGCTAGTCGTATAGATTACTAGATGTGATTCCGACTAGTGGGTGACCTTAGATTATGTGCACAGATGATTGATGAGAGAAGCACTAGAGCGTATTTATTACACCATCCATGTCGTACAGACTACTTCAGGTAGTTCCGACTTATCTGCAGCAGTGTAGTGCCGTACAGGTCATCGAGGTGACTCCGGTTGGATTGGATGTTGAGCTATGGAATTAACCGTACAGGACCAACTGCAGGGTCTCCGGTTAATTCAACTTTTCACCTGTTACATTGATGCATCATTTATTTTGTTTTTTCGAAATTAAAAACATGGCATACTTTCGAGTTTTAAAAGAAAAATTGATGATTCGAGATTTATGAAAAGTATTATGTTATTATATTATTTTCTGGGAAAAGTATACAGGTTTTACAGTGAGGGGTTATAATTATTTTTGGCGAAATGTTTTTGAAAAGATTTGTTTTACTGACCCACTCAATTTTGTTTTTCGCCCCTCCAGGTTCTTGATAGCAGAGTTTTGGTGGCCACGAGGAATCCAACGGTATTCTGACAGAATTCACAAAAGTAGGACTCATCCTCGAGGGTTTCCATTTTAATAATTGTATTTTAAAAGCTTCCGAACTGTGTAAATGGTTACGTCACTCTCATGTGACGGCCAGCATGCCCTCCTTCGAGATGGGGTGTGTCATGTCACCCTTATGATTTCCTCATACATTGACTTTCCATCAAAATTTAAAACTGAAAACGATATTTCTTCATGCAAGTGTTTTTCTGCTTTATCTGGATGCTTCTCCTTTCTTTCCACTACAAATTTAATTGTAAAGAAAGCAGAAAGAAGTAAAAGTGCTGCTATGAAGGAGAATGTGATTCCAAATACCCATTTGCAGTCCTTTCTTAGGCCATGTGTGCAAGGTTGCAAACCTTCAACGTTGCCGCACAATCCTTTGTTCCCTTGTAAGTACAGAGCTTGTCGAAATGCACTGTTGTTGGGAATGGGGCCTTCCAATTCATTGTAAGATACATCCACGTACGACAAGCCGTGCATGCCTTCAAAGCTTGGTGGTATGAAACCCGAAAGATTGTTGTGAGAAAGATTGAGTGTCTCCAAACTCTCCATATTGCTGATTTCTGGCGGTATGCTACCTTCAAGTGAGTTGTGACTCAAATCAAGTTCGTTCAACATAACTAACTTTTCCAACTTCAATGGAATTCCATGGGAAAAATGATTGTTGCTCAAATTCAAATGGTACAGTTTGAGAAAGTTGCCTAAAGTGCTTGTAATTGACCCATTGAATTTGTTTGATGACAAGTCGAGGTATTCAAGATCAACTAGTAATCCAAATTCTGAAGGTATACAACCTGAAAGTTGATTTCCATTTAGCATCAACTTTTGCAATGTCATTCTCCCGAATCCCTTTGGAATGGCCCCAACTAAGTGATTTGAAGAAAGGTCAAGTCTATGGATTTTATGAGCATTGACAATCTCAGGAGGTATGCTACCAATAAGGTTGTTTCCCATAATTAGTAAGGTTTCTAATTGTGCGCATTGTCCCCATTTTTGTGAGATTTCACCATAAAACTTATTGTGGCTCATATCTATGAAATCAAGATTTGGATAAACACCAAAGTCTTTTGATATATTGCCTGTGAATTGGTTCCCTTCAAGATGAACTCTAACTAAGCTCTTGCATGTTTTCAAGCTTTTGGGGATTGGACCTGTCAAATGGTTATTGCTCACTGAAAGGTTTTCGAGTTGTCCACTACAGCAAATATTCTGGGGCAAACAACCTATTAATTGGTTATTATGCAATTGTAGTAAAGTCAACTTCTTCAAATTCTTTATCTCTGAGGGGATGGAACCAGAAAGTTGGTTATCTGTTATGTGTAAGATTTTCAAGTTGACAAGGTTACCTATTGAAGCGGGAATTGAATCACTGAGCTTGTTATAAGACAATTGTAGGTTCACAAGAGATCTTAATTTCCCTATCTCATTAGGAATTGTGCTAGAAAGATTATTATTATTGAGATAGAGAGAGGTGAGGTTTGTGAAATCACCGAATGATGTTGGGATTGAACCGTTGAGCTGGTTATGAGACAAGTCTAGGTCCACAAGAAATTTCAATTTCCCCATCTCTTTTGGAATTGTGCCAGAAAGACTATTATGGTGGAGATAGAGAATGGTAAGGTTTGTGAGATCACCGAGGGATGTTGGGATCAAACCATTAAGCTGATTCCTAGACAATTCTAGATCCAAAAGAGATTTCAATTTCCCTATCTCTTTATGAATTGTGCCAGAAAGATTATTACTATAGAGACAGAGAGTGGTAAGGTTTGTGAGCTGACCTAGGGATGTTGGGATTGAACCGCTAAGCTGATTCTCAGACAATTCTAGGTCCACAAGAAATTTCAATTTCCCCATCTCTTTTGGAATTGTGCCAGAAAGATTATTATTATTGAGATAGAGAGTGGTAAGGTTTGTGAGATCACCTAGGGATGTTGGGATTGAACAGCTGAGCTGGTTAAATGACAATCTTAAGTCCACAAGAGATTTCAATTTCCCTATCTCTTTTGGAATTGTGCCAGAAAGATTATTATGGTGGAGATAGAGAATGGTAAGGTTTGTGAGATCACCAAGGGATGTTGGGATTAAACCATTGAGCTGATTCTCTGACAATTCTAGGTCCACAAGAGATTTCAATTTCCCTATCTCTTTAGGAATTGTGCTAGAAAGATTATTATTGTTGAGATAGAGAGTGGTAAGGATTGTGAGCTGACCTAGGGATGTTGGGATTGAACCGTTGAGCTGGTTATAAGACAATCTTAGGTGCACAAGAGATTTCAATTTCCTTATCTCTTTTGGAATTGTGCCAAAAAGATTATTACGATGGAAATAGAGACTAGTAAGGTTTGTTAGATCACCGAGGGATGTTGGGATTAAACCATTGAGCTGATTCCTAGACAAACCTAGCTCCAAAAGAGATTTCAATTTCCCTATCTCTTTAGGAATTGTGCCAGAAAGATTATTACTATAGAGATAGAGAATGGTAAGGTTTGTGAGCTGACCTAAGGATGTTGGGATTGAACCGCTGAGCTGATTCTCTGACAATTCTAGGTCCACAAGAGATTTCAATTTCCCTATCTCTTTAGGAATTGTGCTAGAAAGATTATTATTATTGAGATGGAGAGTGGTAAGGTTTGTGAGATCACCTAGGGATGTTGGGATTGAACAGCTGAGCTGGTTAAAAGACAATCTTAGGTCCACAAGAGATTTCAATTTCCCTATCTCTTTTGGAATTGTGCTAGAAAGATTATTTTGGTAGAGATAGAGAAATTTAATGTTTGTGAGATCACAGAGAGATGTTGGGATTGAACCACTGAGCCAATTGTTAGAAAGATCAAGCGAGATGAGTTTGGAGAGGGAATTGATCTGAGCGGGAATGGCATCAAAGAGATTATTGTAGCTGAGATTGAGGTATTGAAGATTGGGAAAAGACAAGAATGAAAACTCATGTAGCGTACCTTGTATACCGGAATTGGTAAGGTTTATCACACTGACACTTCCAACAGCATTGCATGAAATACCAGTCCAGAAGCATGGGGCTGCTTTTGTATGAGCGGGTAGGTAAGTCCATGAGGTGAGATTTTGCAGGCAGGTATGGTTTTGAAAGGTGGCTTTCCATTTGAGAAGTGCTTCTGCTTCAGTAGTAGTAGCAGCATAAGCAAAAGCACAGAAACTTGGCGGTGAAAGAAGTTGTACGAATAAAACAAGGCAATAAGCCAGAGGGCATAGTTTATGAAAATCTAAAGATGTCATGGCCACTAGTGTTTAATTTCGTGTACGTATTAGAATCTACTCCCAGGGTTTATTTATAATGGCATTCATGAGCTATTGTAATTAAGTCAATTCAACCTGCATCAAAAAATGGGATGGGAGAGTAGAAAGATACAGGCCTTGCAAAATGTTTTTTACGTACAAGATAAGCCAAAGTCTTTGTCCCAAATGTGTGTAATTGTTTTATGGGGCCCACCCCACTCCTTTTACCGGTTGTTTCCAATAATAAACAATGTACTTAGTCCCAAATGTGTGTAATTGTCAATATTTCTTCTCAAATATCACCATCTCAGCCCTGCCCTCTCGTTCACATCTCATTTATTTCTATTTTTTTTTTCTCATTAAAGTTATTCCGTTTGGTGTCATAAGTTAAAACTTATATCAAATAAAAGCAGCGTTACTTGGTGATGAAACAAGTTGTACGTACAAGACAAGGCAATAAGCCAGAAGGCATACTTTATGAAAAGCTAAGGATGTCATGGCCATTGTTTAGTTTAACTTCGTGTACATATTATAATCTCATTTATAATGGCATTCATGAGCTATTGCAATTAATTTGACCCGCACCGAAAAAAGGGGTGGGAGAGAAGAACAAAAATACAGGACTTGCAGAATGTTATGTTTTCCACAAGAAAAATGACCTCTTCATGGCTTTAGAGTCTCAGACCATGGAAAAGTTGTTCCAATTAATTTTTTTTCTTTCTCGACTTTGTGGAGTCTTCCATAAATTAAGTTAATCGAAGTCAAAGTCTTTGTCTTTTATAAATATAAGGTAAATACAACTTGGCAATTTGTAGAGCTTAATGATGCTCAATTGATATTTTTTATTTTTTTTTTTAGTATTCTCCTTTATTTCATATGACTATGACAACTGATTCTTTTTAAATCTCGACGTAGACATATATTGGCATTGTTTTGCAAACTGCCTTAGAATAAAAGGGAAGGAACGTTTGCAAAGGCTTGCAGGTTTTCTTTACGCGTCAAAGTTATTTTCTAAGGAGACATTCGAACTTTTGCATTTTCTCGTTAATCTACATAACTTTTTTTTTTTCATTTTCACTAGTTATAGATAAATATGCACATGTAAAGTCGCAATATTTTACTCAAAATCAAACATTAGAAAGAGTCAAAGTTTCATTAAGGATAGATTAATTTCCAATGGCTTCTAAAAGTTTGAGTGGCCTTAAAATTGAGTGTGTGCTTTGGGTTTAATTCAAGAATTTACCGCAAAATTGAATTTTGTGAACCATGAACAATTCGCGCATGCGTGCACGTCGAAAAACCATGTATATGTACTCATAAACTTATATTCCGATACTAGAGAAATCATGGAAATCCGAAACCCGAAATCTTTATCTTGGCCTTGATTTTGTATCGGAATATAAATGTGAAATTGTACGTCGGTTTTCTTGTGGCAAACACTACTTCTAGTTATTTATAATTTTTTTTTTGTATTTTTAAATTTTTTTTTGTTTGAATCTTTACTTCTCTCTTTGTATAACAGTGAGATTACCACTGACGGAAAACTTATAACCAAGCTTGACCAGATTTTACTCAACAGAATCTAAAAGTTCAATACAAAATACACTAATGCTTCACAAATATAAAGAAAGCTAAGCTCCCATCGCACGCCTGCTCATCTGGTTGGAGTGCTACTCATGATATGGAGTTAAGTCTAACTAAACCTGGACAGCCCGACCAGTCAACATTCGGTTAATTGTAATTGTCACAGCCCGTCCCGGAATTTTAATTCCGAGAACGTGAAAAGACCAAAATGCCCTTAAGCGGGACTAAGGGGCGAAAATTTAACAATTGGATTTACATTAGTATGTTTAAAGTTGTGTTTGGGATTTAAGTAGGGCCTCCTACCCTGATTCCCTCCCCAATTCCCGTATACTGTCATTCACTCTCTCTCTTCCCTCACGACTCTCTCTCACTCTCAGTTCTCTCTCTCTTCCTCTCCGACGCTCAACCTCACCCAAAACCACCTAAAACATAAACAAACGGCCAAGATAAGACCACATTTGGACTCCTGGAACTTCCACAATCACGTAGACATCAATTTCAGGTAAGTTTCTACTTCGGAAAACCCTAGTTTTCAAAGTTCCCGTGAAATGGCACTGTTCATAAACTCTTAAATGGTGGTGTTTTAGCTTAAAACAAGATCACAGTGAGCTTAAGGAAGTCCCAAGGAAGCTCGGAGTGCTTCGTTGGAAGTTTTTGGACGTAAGAACACGGAGATCGACAAGTTCAAAGTTTGGCCGGAGCTTTCGAGGCTCTTTCCGGCGAATCCCCGGCGAGTTAGGAGTCGAGGTAGGTATCAATCTCTTCGTCTCGTCAAGTACTACAACTTTCCTTTTTGTTTCACTCAATTTCGTTGAGTATTGAAGAAGTTATACTCATTTGAAAAATACCCAGTTTCCGGCGACCTCCGAGGCTTTCGAGGCAGTTTCCGGCCAAACCACGGCGAACTAGGTGTTGTGCAAGGTACCATTCTCTTTGTCTCTTCAAGGGCTACAACTTTCGTTTTTGAATCACTTGATTTCGTTGAGAAATGACAAAGTTATGGCAATTTGAAAAAACTGCCCGGAAAAACGGCCGCCGGAAAAAACCAGTCCGGCGACCCAAGGAAGAAGAAGGTGCTACAGTAAAAAAAAAAATAAAAATAAAAATTATTTTAAAAATATGTCGACGTCCGTGACGTCGAGTAGATCACTGTGGTATATTCATATACCCAAAATTGAACACCGTATGAGAAAGTTATTAAGGATTGTTGGTTAGGTGTTCGAAATAACGTTTTATAGTTTTCACATTTAGGTAAAAATGTGAATTGATGATCCGACCGTTGGATCGTCACCAAACTTTGATACGTTGTAATACGTAATATTTGAGGATTATTGGAACTTACGGATTGGGAATCCGAGTTACGGATCTTCCGGAATTGGAATTGTAAGTCCATAATATAAAATGTTAACCGTCACTTAGTTTTGGAAATTGACGGAGATCCGACCGTTGGATGGTGAATGAAATTTTAGGATGTTGTCCTAGAGATATATTGTGGACCTCTGGAAGTTATGGATTTAAAATCTGAGTGGCAGATCTTCCGGATCGAACTACGTAGTGACGTATTTTATATAAGTTATATATTCTATCGATATGAATTCTGAGGTTGGATTTGATTACTATTCTAGGCGGCGATCGTCGTGACGCCTTGATGTGTGGTGCTAGGGAGTTGTTGGACGAACTCCAGGTGAGTGGGCAGTTTTGTTTTCCGTATATATATATACTTGACGTTTCCCAGAAATTGAATTGAAATGAAAATATGTTTAAAATGAAATGCATATGAGTTATGTGGAAAAGGGGGAAGTGAAATACCATGCATAGAATTGATATGAAAAGTATATAGAAATGTGAGTTGAAATGCCATGCATGAATTAATATATGATGCATATGTATGAATTGGTGCGGTGGACGCACAGGTAAGAATTGATTTATGATACATATGTATGAAATGGTGCGGTGGACGCACATGTGAGTATTTATTTCTGTTATGATGATGTTGATGTATATTGAGCTCAAATCCTGCACCATAGTTTAGTGCTTATAGTATTCACCGCATCGCACGCTCGCCTTGGATCCAAGTAGATGCTAGTCGTACAGTCCACGCGGAGTGGGTACGACAGGCCAGTCACGAGAGTGTTAGTGAGATTCCGACTGGTGGGTGACCTTAGATTATGTGCACAGATGATTATGAGAAGCACTAGAGCGTAACTTATGTGCAGAAGGCCGTACAGGTCACGCGGAGTGACTCCGGCAGAGTGTGAGAATGATAGATTTTGAGCTCTAGGTTCAACCGTACAGGGCTATTAGAGGGCCTCCGGTTGATTACTTTCTTGTACCTGATATGATTATTGTTGATGCATCCATACTTAACTGTTGAATTAGACATGGCATGGCATGATTGATAAAGAAAAATGTTGAGATAGTAAAAATGAAGTTTTGAGAATATATATGTATATTTATATTTTACATTTCTGGGAAAGTATACAGGTTTTACGGAGAGGGGTTACAATGCTTTGAAAAAAAATTGGATTTGAAAAGAATTGTTTTACTGACCCACTCAATTTTGGTTTTGCGCCCCTCCAGGTTAAAGAATAGCTTAGGTGTGGTGGCTACGAGGAATTCGACGGTGTTCTGACAGATTGGACAAAATTAGGACTCCCTTCGGGTGTATCAACTTATAAATTGTATCTTAAAGCTTCCGTACTGTGCAAATGGTTACGTCACTCTCACGTGACGGCCAGCATGCCCTCCTTCGGGACGGGGTGTGTCAGTAATTGTAAGTCCCATTGTAGCAATTAAGTAAAAAATTTCGTATTTGAATAACCAAGCATACCTATACATTATATTCCTCTCTTTGGTGCAATGCTTTGCAGACGATCACACATTTTTTATCCTGGTACACGTAGTATATTGGGAAATCGTAAAGGATATACAACAAGAGTTATCGCAAGAGTGAGAGAGAGATGAGAGATGAGAGTGAGAGAACTGCGAAGGGAACGACGTCGGATGGAGCAGTGGTTTTCCATTTAGATTAAAATAAAGAAACGGAAAATTTGAAGAGGGGTATTTTAGTATTGTTACCGTGCTTAAGAGCAATGGTTTTTCATTTAGATTGTAATTAATTCGAGGCTTATTGTCAATGACGCCTCTAGAATTCTATTTTGATTTTATTTTTTTTCTGTAACTTAAAAGTTATCATTTTTTTTTCTTGAAAAATTTGTTCCGTTTTGACTTGTGGACTCTCTCTTCTCCCAGAAACTTATAGGTCGTCTCTTAAAATATATATGGGACCCAACGCCTAATAAGACTATGTCACATGTACAATAAATTTGATTATAAATCTCCATTATGCGTTAATATTCAACAATCACATAATATTAAGTTTAAAAGAAACTGAAGAAATGAAAAAAATAAAAAATAAATCGATTAGCCTAGCGCACCCAAATCAAACCCACATAAGAAATTAACATATCTAAGGTAATTTGGAGCAAAATTTAGGTTTTATAGACACGACTTGCAAGTTTCAGAGGGCAAAATGGGATCAAAATCAAGTTCCAGGGACAAGGTTAATCGAACCTTGAGTTCCAAGAAGTAAAGTGGTAACTTTTGAGTTTTAAGAAGTAAAGTGATAACTTTTGAATTACAGAGAGCAAATTGAGATTAAAATCAAGTTTCAAAGGGTATAAGTAAAAATAAGCCTTAATTCGATCCGCACTGATTAAAAAGGCGTGGAAGAGAAGAACAATAATAAAGACTTGCATAATCTTCTGGTCTCCACAAGAAAATGACATCTTCATGGCTTAGATGATGGAAAAGTTTTTCCAATTAATATTCTCTTTTATGACTTTGGAGTCTTTCATAAATTAACTTACTAGAAATCAAAGTCTTTATCTCTTATATATAAGTCAAATGCAATTTGGAAATTTGTCATCAAATTTTTTTTCCTCAAAGACTAAGAGCTTAATGATGCTTAATTGGTACTACTTTTTCTTTTCTTTTTTATTAATTTTTAGTATTCTCCTTTGTTTATTTCATATGACTCACAAAAGATTTTCTTTAGATCTCGACATAGACATATATTGGCATTGTTTTGCAAATTGCCTTGAATGAAGGGGAAGGAACCTTTTGCAAAGGCTTGCAGTTTCTTTTACGAGTCAAAGTCATCTTCGAAGAAGAAATCGAACTTTTGCATTTTTCTCGTTTATTGGATGAATTGAAATTTACAAAACTTATTTTCTTTTTCACTAGTTATAGATAAATTGCACAAATAAAACTGCCATACTTTACTCAAAATTGAACATTAGAAAACAATCGAGGTTTAGTTAAGAATATAGATTAATTTTCAAAGGCTACTAACAGTTGGAGTGGCCTTAAAAATTGGCGTGTGCTTTGGGTTTAATTCAAGAATTGACTGCATAAGAGCAACTCCACCCATGGAGCCCTTCCCCCTGGCAATCCACTATTGAATCCACCATTTTGAACAGTAACTGCCTTTAATGAATAGTAACTGCCATTAATGAACAGTAATTGCCATTTGCATCTCCACCCTTGGAGCCCTCCCCCTGGCAATGGGCAATAAAATATTAGTTTTTTTTTGTTTGTTTAAATAATACAAAATAAAATTATTTGTAATTTCAGATAAGATTTTTTAAATCGTTCTCGTTGCGCCATGTGTCATTTTATAAAAAAAAAAACAATTATTTAGTGATGTATTTCGATAAGATTTTTATCCAATGTCATCGTGCCACGTCTTCAAGAAGCGACCAATTCGTACCTGCATCAGTAGTCATTTTGTGGAAAAAAAATTGGATTGAAACTTTGAGAAAAAGATAGGAATTTGATTGAATGTGGTTGAGAAAATATGAAATTGTGGTGTAAGGTAGATGGAGAAGAAGTGGTATTTATAGAAAAGTAAAAACAACTTTTTACAAAAAAAATTTCAAATTTTTTACAATTTTTTCGGATTTTTTCCATTTTTTTAATTTTTTTTTCAAATAATTAATCTCTGCCGTTGGATTTTAAAAAAAAATTGAATTCCAACACTCCAGATTGTGCCACGTGTCACAACGGTAACTTTTTTTAATTTTAAAACTATTTTTTCTTTATTTATAAAGCATATTAATATCGACCGTTGATCTTAGATCGAACGGTTGATATTAAATAAGATTTTTTTTTTTTACCGTTGAAATCCAACGGTCCAAATGAAGGAGCCGTTGAGATCGAACGGACCATGGGAAGCCACGTGGCTTCCCAACGGTAACTGAGACCTTCTGAAAAGCGGACTGCTTTTCTAAAAAGTTGTCAGGCGACGCGCCCCCACGCGTGAGTGGGGTGCACGCGCCTGACAGAAAAAGGGTTGGGAGCTCGGGCTGCCAGGCTGTCACAAATTGACAGGCCTCTTGCTCGGGCCTTCTCCACGAGCTCGGGCTCTTCATGACTGGAGCTGATTGACAGGCCCTCGGGCCCTTTCTTCTCCCCTGTCCTCCGGCCTACATGCAAGACTGGACTTGCTCTAAGGGAATTATGTGAACGTCGAAATGGCGTGTGCTTTGGCCTTAAAAATTTGCACATGCGTGCACGTCGAAAAACCATGATCTGTACTAATAAACTTTATTGACTTAGGACTTAGGAGCATGCATGCTTGTGATGCTTTTTTGTTCTTTGATTTGACTTTTTTCACATTTTCTGCGATGTATTACAGAATTCATGGAAATCCAAAAACCCGAAATTTTCATCTTTGGCATTGATTTTGTATACATAAATATGAATGTGAAATGGTACCTTTTTTAGATGGCTAACTCGTCGTGATTTGGTAGGAATGAATCATCCATAAGTATCAAAGTTTAGAACATTCGACAATCTATTCTTTGACTCACATATTCCACATAGCATAATTGTGTATTGCATGAAACAAATATATGAAACATATACAAATATATATATATATATATATATATATATATATCAGAAAGAAAATATAAACATAGGGGGTTCATGCATCATGAGGACTGTTTTCATGCTTCACGGTTGTTTCAAATATCTTACTTTATTTTAAGCGTACCTGATTGGCAGAAAATAACAAAAGCCTTTGAACTTGTAGAAGATCATTCTCATAAAGATGGAATTGCATCTCAAATATCTTACTTTTCTTCAAGATCTTCTACAACTTGTATCACGTTCAACACAAAAAAAATAAAATAAATTGAATCAATAGCATGTTGATCAATTCAATAAAATGATAAATTAATCATAAAAATAATGATTAAAACGTAATACTCCTCATATTGAAGATCAAACTCTCTTTAGCGCAGCGTTAAGAGCGTGCTGATAACGTGTTGTAGGCATAATTTACTGAACAATTATGGAGGCCAAAGAGAGATGGGTGTGGCAATAGGTAGAGAGAATGAGAGAGATGTGTAATTGTGGGTGTGTTATATTCCACCCCATTGTGCCTTTATTTATAGTAGTAGGATAGGTTAAAACCTTTCTCTTTAGGATTACAACATTTAATAGGTAATCTACTCCTAATAGGAATATAAGATACATTCTCATATCTACTAGGATTTACACAATCATATTCATAATCTAATAGGACTGCAACATTAGAATATATATTATATTACCTTTATTGATAATAGCTAAAAATAGGGAACTTTCATGAAAAGAGCTTGGACTAAGTTTATTTTAATATAAAATCATGTTATAACTTTATTTAATTAAAAAGCCTAAAATTTTAATGAAAAACCCTTAAATTTTAATAAAAATGACAAAAGAACTTAAATTTTAATGAAAAAGACATAATTTTAATATTAAAAAAAAATCTGATGCGTGGACCTATGTGTCCTCATACTTTTTATGAACTTCTACACTGCTTATGAAACTTACGACACTGTTTATGAAACTTATTGTACTGTTTATGAAAACTTGCGACATTATTTATGAAAACTTGCGACACTGTTTATGAAACTTACTAGATTATTTTGAAACTTAACGATACTACATTCTTCTCTCTCCTCTTCTTGAATATTCTTAGCACATTCTCACTTTCCAAGCACATCTTATTCTTCTAATTCTATTCGATACTCATTAAAATACAAAGATTTAAAAGCAATTTTCATTAGTTTTCTTAAAAAAAATATACACATATATTTATCCTTTTGTCGCCAAACATCAGTGTGATGACGTATTTAAATTTCTCCTCTTGACATGTCGATGTCCAATGCATAAAAAATCATAGCCAAAAATTAAAGCACCGAATTGAAAATCAAACAAAAATTTGTCTGCCAAGTAAGATAAAGCATCAGTGTTCCTTCATCTGAAACTCCACTTGTAATTACCTAGATAGTTTGAACTTGAAGCATTTAGCATTGTGGCTATGCTTGCGCGAAAGCGCGATAGGTTGGTCGATTTCATTCAGTGTTTCATAGGTTGTAGTTGATGTGCAGCAAGTCAATTTGAATTAAATTTGGGTTCGGATGCAAGTTTGACAAGACCATGTAAAGTAAACATGCAACTTGCAGAACCGAAGTTGTCTGATAGAGTATTGGGTGGTTGGAACTTGGGTGGGTGGGGGCGCGCGCACAGTGTGAATTTTTTTTTTAATGTTTTTTTTTTGTTCTTATCATTAAATAAAGTTAGTATATGGTTTTTCATTAAAATGCAAAAAATTGAAGTCATTTTTATTAGTTTTCCTCTAAAAATATTGTCCATACATTATTATTTTAATTTCCAAAGTGATTTGAGGACTTAGACGATTGGAATAGAGAAATGCATAATATATATGTACTTATAACTGCGTTCAATTATGCAAGTGGTCATTTATCACAGTGGTGGAAATGTGTTGAGTTCT